TCTCCGCCACCCCTCCCGTCCCGTCCACCCTGCTCCCCTCACCACGACGACGTGGACCCCTCAGACAGTTTGTGTGTGTGTGTGTGTGGTGTGTGTGTGTGGTGTGTGTGTGTGTGTGTGTGTGTGTGTGTGTGTGGTGGTTGTGTGTGTGTGTGTGTGTGTGGTGTGTGTTGTGTGTGTGTGTGGTGTGTGTGTGTGTGTAAGGTTACCCTCTGTGGTGACCTTTTGTGTGTGGTCGGGACATTATGATTGTAAGTCTTGACTCCGTGTGTATGTGTTTATGCACGTTTTCTGGCGTATGTTTTAGTTTCTCGTCGCCTTCTGTCCTTGTAGGACGAGAGCAGATAATGTCTCGACTTTAGTCTTCTCCTTTTAGAAGAAAATTAAAGAGAGACCTTCAAAGGGGTCCGACTCACTCTGTTCCGAGACTACCACGACGTATAATCCGGAGTTTCCTCTTACTAGTTCTGGGAGGACAGTGGTGAGTAGGACCCAAACAACCTCCCGGAGCTTTTCCCCCCGGGCCCTCCCCTATGTAGTCATCTTTTATTTGGGGTTCTATTCTGTGTCTTTCTTTTTCAATTCGACTGATTCTATATGGGTGTCATATTGGTAAGTCCTATTTAATCGACGGTAATCAGTCTAACTCTTAAAATAAAATTTTCTTGGTGGACTTAAGTAAAATTCATTAACGGAGCGTCCATTCACAGACAAGCCGACTTCAAGGAACGTTGAGTTTATTTTGTGTTCTTACCATCACTTTGACTGGGTTTCACCAACCTTTGCACTCCACGTACGTAAATGAGTAGAAACAGTTCGTTAGCTGAGTAGTTTCGTCGAAGGTTTTGTCTGTTTGCCTTTGTCAACGCGTATTTTAGTTTGGGGTGGTGACTCGTAAGAGTCATTCAAGTCATTTGGTGTCGTGAACGTTTTGGTATTTATATATATATATAAATATATATTAAATATTATATATAATAAATATATGTGTGTGAACTAGGAGCATGTCCTTGGTTATGAGGCCCCCCCCACCCTGCCCTCTCATTAGATTAAACAATTACGCCCACACAAATCTCAAACCTAAATAGGGACGTAAGCGGCTAATGGGAGCCAGTTGTTCTCCGCTCCACTTTAAGGATTTCAATAGGTTCCTCGCTTCCACTCTGCTCCCAAATATTTTGCTTATTATGTACAACACTTTGTTCCCCTGATGCCACGTGACATACAGGGGGGAAAACAAACATCCGTATGACAGTAACAATTTATGCATGTTGACATTCCTGAAGCTCAGGGTCAGCTGGAACACTTTCCATCCGGAAATACCTACGGGAGGAGAAGTGAGCAGAGGCGAGGACTGAGTAGGACATGGCTGGTCTAAATAGAGGAACGCCTGTGAAACACCTAACCCAGAAAACAAAGGAAAGATGAACAGACAAGAATCTCTGAATCCAGAGATGTCTGCAGATGCTTTATGGCTTACAAAAGCCCTGGCTCAAAATCAAAGATGCTCAATGATAAAGGCTGGAGAATAAAAAGAATAGTAAAAAGGGTGAGTTAATGCGGTCCATCTGGGGGGCTACAGCATGCTGATCAACAGAAATCTGGCTCTGGGTTGTGGCAGCCAAAAACCTCTGCTTGAGAATTGATTGGACTTCAAAAACTATTTGATTCTATCCCTGCACGACATTAGATTGCTTATAAATATTGTTGCCACAAAAAGAGTGCGGATTGCCATTGGTTAGCAAAGCAGAGCTGGATCTAGAGCGCTGACATTAAGCAGGCTGCAGCGTTGTGCTGGGTTTAAGACGGAGTTCTTCCCAGTACGACACCAGGCCAAACCAATGCCGCTGCTCGTAAGCTTTGGCAATCAAGAATGATTTAAACGGTCTGACAGACAGTAACACTTAAAGGAGACGTTTGGGTTAAGTCCTCCTCAAAATATCCACCATCAAAACTGGAACCCTGATTCAGATCCACCAATCAAACCCAGTGCTTAGGTTAGGGGTGATTGTGAGGACACGCAGGAATCACCCCATGTCGTTATAATAACACATGCTGTTTATATAAGCACAATGCAATGTAGTTGTATTAGTCAGTGAAGGAAGTGTTCAAACATGGCAGAGGACCATTTCTAGATTAACACCATAAGTGTGTTTGTAAAAACAAACAGGGGAAAAGTGGCTGACCGTCATGATGTAAGCACTCAGAAATGATACACAGACTTTCTCTGTTCATCCGGCATAATGTCTTGGCTGGAATTGGGTGTTGAAGCAAGGCGTT